GCGGCTCCCGGGAGCCCGAGCTCCCCCACCCGGGAAGGGCCCGCGCTGCAGCGCCTCCCGCAGCCTGAGCTGCCGCAGCCTTGCCGGGTCCGGCTGGGAGCGGGGTGGAGGCTCCCCTGAGGGAGGTGAAGGGTGGGGGACTCTGAGGTGGGGGGGATTCTGAGGGTAGGGGACTATGGGAGGGGGTGGGGGGCTCTGAGGCAGGGGCTGTGGAGAGTGGGGGGCTGTGGAGGGGGTGGGCTATGGGAGGAGGTGGGGAAATGAAGGGTAGGGGTTATGGAGGGAGGTGAAGGGGAGGACTGAGGTGGGGGTGCTGTGGAAGGTGCTATGGAAGGTGGGGGCTATGGGAGGGGGTGGGGGCTCTGAGGCAGGGGCTGTGGAGAGTGGGGGGGGGGGCTGCGGAGGGCAGGCTGTCAGGAGAGGGGGCACTGAGGCAGGAGAAGGCTGAGGATGGGCCCTGTGGAGAGCGGGTGGCTCTGGGGTGAGGCCTGGGGGGTCCAGTGGGTGGGTGGAAGGTGGCTCTGGGGGGTCCGGCAGGCAGGCAGGAAGCGGCTCTGGGGTGAGGCCTGGGGGGGGTCGGGCGGGCGGGAGGCAGCTCTGGGGTGAGGCCTGGGGGGGTCCGGCGGGCGGGCGGGGGGGCGCCCTGGGGTTTTCCTGGACATGTCCGGCTTTTTGGCCCCCCCCCGTGCCAACCCCCCCCCCCCCCCCCAAGAAGCTGTTTGTGCCTGAGGCATCTGGATCTGTTCACATTTCGGTTCGGTCTATATGATTTCCTTGGTGTCAGCAGCAATGTTGCCTCCAACCCAGTACTTGCTATACTAGAAAGTTTTGCCAGCCACACTTATGCCAGCTGCCTGCCGCCATAGCAATTTTGCTAAGAAAGAAAGGAATCCTTTTTAATAATGTAGGTGACCGGGGAGGGGTTAGACGAGAGCAAGTGACCTCGTTACATCAGTGCCCCCGAGTCATCAAGTTCCCTCTTCCTGAATCACCAGAGGGCGCCTGTCACAGCGATGCACTTGTCATGTGACCGGGGTCTTGCAATTTCCTGCGGTCGGTTTTCCTGCTATATGCAGGGTAGCAAGTGGGTTCTGTCGTAGGCTCTTGGGAACATCCACGGGCGGCCGAAGACAAGCCCGCCCTGGGTACGTATGTACAGACCGAGCGGAAAGCCTTCCTGTAACCTCGGCTTCATGAGCCCGGGCCATATAACGCCTTGTCACAGGTGCTTTGGCGGGAGGCTTGGGGGTTGTGTGAATTTCCCGCTGTCCTTACAGGAGGCACTTGCGTTTGTTGTACCCGCGCCTACACAAACTCTACGTGTGGCTGCTGCAGCGAAACTAATTGCGGCGCGCGTTAATGCCTTGATCGCTGGTTTAATGGAGAATAGTAATTGCTGCGGGGTCTCCTGGCAACAAAACCAAACGTTTCAAACCCAGTTAGGCAGCGGGGAGGCCTGATTATTGCCTTGGGGGAGGAGAGGAGACGGGAATCCTGTTGGGGAGTTAGACACTGCGCCATCCCAACTGCCTGCTGCCCTAGCACTGCCAGCCTCTATCGGCTACTAACCCCCAACAGAAGAGATGCAGGGACCATTATGAGTGCAGAAAACCTTAGACCCAGGAGGAGAGTGGAACCTCAGACCAGTGGCTCTCGCCCATTCCCGACTACTGTAGCCTCTTCAGGAGGCTGATTGGTCTTGCATACCCCCAAGTTTTACCTCCCTTAAAAACTACTTGCTTACAAAATCAGACATAAAAATACCAGTGTCACAGCTCACTGTTATTATAAAATAAACCAATTGTAATATAAATATTGTACTTATATTTCAGTGTATAGTATATAGAGCTGTATAAATAAGTCATTGTGTGAAATTTTAGTTTGTACTGACTTTGCTAGTGCTTTTTACCTAGCCTGTGGTAAAACTAGGCAAATATCTAGATGAGTTGATGTACCCCCTGGAAGATCGCTGCACACCCCCAGGGTTAGGTGTCCCCTGGTTGAGAACCTCTGCTCTAGGCAGCCTCTTGTAAGGTTTGCCTAAAGGGTAAATACCACCCTAGCTGAGACTGTTGTAAAACCTATTCAGGGGCTAGTGATCAAATCTGCACCTCTCTGCTTGTCAAAGCCCCTACATGGGACGCAATGTGTGACCCGTATTGAGAGGCGTGGAAAATACGTATGGGAGTTCTCCTTTACGGTAGGTCTGCACTGCACTGGAGAGTTGGGTTTGTGACATGGGCACCCGAACTAGAGTCAGTTTGCAAAAAACAGTAGTGAAACCCAGCTAACAGCTAGAGACCTAGTGTAAATAGTTATTTCTGTAGCCTCAGTTGAATTGGTTCTTTGCTGGGGATGTAGGCAATCTTCAGCAAGAAGAGTGAGGGGAC